ATTCGCCACCAAATCCAATACCCATAAGGACCCCAACAATCAATTCATTATTAACGCGAAGAAAGTTTTTGAGCCAATTGTCTTAAGACAGTTACCACTCTTTGTTACCCCCAAACCTATACTCAAATTACTGAACATAAAGTCTGGAATCGATGAAAAAGCTTATCAATTCTTCCTGAAGACCACTCAACACATTATAAGACAACGAAAGGCTGAGAAAAATAATCACAAGAAATATAATGATTTCATTCAACTTCTTGTGGACGCAGAGAACCATAAGGAAGAGCTTCACGACGAGAATGATGTGAATGAAGCACATCATGTGAATCAGGGTTTGTGTCCATTAGTTATCGTTTGTCTCGATTTTATTATTGGAAACAAATATTTGATTATTGAATGCATTTTCAGGCGCCGAAGAGTTAGAAATGGAGAGAAAGACATTATCGGCAAACTTTCTAAACAAACAGTTGACTGAAAGTGAAATCATGGCTCAGGGATATGTAATATTCGCCGCCGGTTACGAGACGACGGCCACCACTCTGACGTTCTGTTCGTACGAATTGGCGCTCAATCCTTCCGTTCAGGAGAGGCTGTACGAGGAGGTGGAGGCAGCGGTCGATGCGGACGGAGAGATCAGTTACGAGGATTTGGCAAAATTGCCGTTTTTGGATGCAGTCCTATCGGAAACACTACGCAAATACCCACCGATCATAAAACTACAACGTAAAGCAATGGCTGATTACAAGTTGGGCGACACCGGTATTCAACTGTTCAAAAGCCAGGACGTCGAGATACCCGTCTATGCCATACATCACTCGGAGGAGTATTATCCGCAGCCCGAGAAGTTTATCCCGGATCGATTTCTGCCCGAGAATAGACATAAAATAACGCCCTACACATACATACCGTTTGGTGCCGGCCCCCGAAACTGTATTGGTATGAGATTTGCGTTAATGGAAGCCAAGTTAGGGTTAGTACAGATTGTGAGGAGGTATCGATTTTTCCGATCACCGCAAACAGCCGTTCCCTTAGAGTTCAAACCCATCACTCTTTTATGTTCGCCTAAAAGTGTTATCATTGGCATTGAAAAGCGATAATTTGTCTCCAAATGTGTTTACATTTACTCATAAAGTTTTAAATGATTACTATTTAAACAGCTTTTATGGCATTTATAATGTGGTTTAGAAACAATATTTTAAAATAACTTTATATGAAGTTATAAATTATAGTAATAAAATGATTGCATTTATATTTTAAGTTGTCATAGTGTAGTGGCACTCAAACTATCATAATCTTAATGATAATATTTTGATGTTTTAGAGGCCAAAAAAGTATTGGTTTTAACGGCAGTTGCCATATAGACAAAGATTACAGCAATATTGTGTGTAATTTTAGGATTAATGTATGATATTAAC